GAATCCATTTCCCGCTTTCGTTTTTCCGCCCTAAGTTTATTATTTACATTGATCCGCAGCCACTTAATCACATTCTTCAAATAACATCTAAATTTTTTAGTTTCAAAAAATGCCACCTTACTTTAATTTCTCTCTTCGTTTAATTTGTCTTATTAGATGAATTTTCCTTTTTTGCCCCTTTCTTTCCCTATCCCTCTCTCTCTCTTTCTCTCAGTTATTCAGATACAAGCGAATATATTTAATTCATTTATTTTTCTGCAATATTTTCCTTTACAATTACGTTAATTAATTATTTGTTTGAAAATAGAATAAAATAAATTTTTAATAAACATACATTCAATGCATATATTAAAAATATTGTAACATTCCTTCTGTTCTAACTGACACAAATTGTCACTAATTAGACATAAGTTACTAATTGCCTCAAATATATCTGGTTAGTGACAGGTTTTGCGCAAATTTACCGGACTGTTTTCAATCCAAACTTTGCACAATTCTCTCGAAACTTTTAATTCAAACTTTATTTCATTTTCATTTATAATATAATATTCTTAATGATTCATCTGAGAGTTTTGCTCAATCGTTGGATTTTTCCATTTTTGGAAGAGTCTTACTAAAATTGATAATTAATGGACTGAGACGATTGTGCCAATGCTTATTTATTGAAAATTAGATTAACTCTGAAATTCATCAATTCCAATTTAGGCGCTAAAGTTGATTTAATTTCGAAATTATACACATCATGCCGCGCCAGTAAACGTCACATTTATGTTATTTACCGCAAATTACTATCAAAATTAATTAATACCGTTGTTTCAGCCGCTTTATTGGTGGTTTTCAACTTTTAAAAGTATGACAGCTGAGGTACAAGCAACAGGTAAATTGGATTATTGCACATATCCACTTCCAATACAATCCATCACAATCTCAATTTGATTGAATATACTGTTCATTTTCCATTTACTTCACGAAACTTCACAGTACATCTACCTTTTCCGCCATCATTTAAATTTTATGACACTTATTGTTCCGGAAAGTTTGATGGACCGCATCGAATATCTTAGTAAACACTATCACCCTCCACTGCTTTTGTCTCCATAAAGTAACCTAATGGATTGGTCATAATCAGACATGACATTATGTCCCGCAACGCTATGAAACATCAAGTGGACGCCTTTTTTGGTATTCCTGAATCGGTTATTCCCATATATTCACTATAATAGTTAATCTAAGCCCAGCTAATCGATACGGTCACTTCCTGAAGATGACTTTTTTTATGACAGTCACTCATTAAAATGTATCAATGAGCGGTAATAAGCAGTAGAAATCAATGATTATTTTGTGGCTAATCGTAGTTTCATCGGTTGTTCTAAATGAAACAATAACCAATATTTATAAGTTATTAAATTATCATTTGTTGACATTACTAATTAGTAATATACTCTTTAATTACAATTATTTTAATTACAACAATATCCTTTAAATCATTACTATTACTTAAATTATTATTCATTTATTATCTCTTTTAGTTCAATAAATTTATATTTATCATAATTCGTTTGTTATTTCAGCTCTTTTGGGCTCCGCGCGGTTTAACCTTGCACTCATCGGTTTTTTGGGTTGCGTTGTTATCTACGCGTTGCGTACCGATGTCAGCTTTGCAATCGTGTGTATGGTCAATAGCACAGCGGTGGAAATGTTATCTGGTACCGGTGGTGCTAATATAACAAAGAAAGCTAGTGCATGCGCACTACACGGTGATAGTGAATCAACTGAAAAGGATACAGTATGCTTATCATTTCATTGAAATATTTTCAGTTTGAAATTCCAACAAATATGAAAATAATCCCCTATTTTAATTAAGATTATAACTGCTAAAGCTTTATTAGCATTGGAATGCAATGCCACTGACTTTGAAATTTGAAGCCTTCCCCATTCCGTTTCCTGAAATGACTCTGTAATGACTTTACTACATGAACAAACAGACTGCATGATACATTTAAGGATATGCAAAGTATTGCACCTGATACTTGATTATCCTCCAACAAATAAATTTCAGGTTT